AAGGCCTATGATCTGCAGAGTGATGTGAGTAAACCATTAAATTTGTCATACATCTTTAAATATAGTGGGTCCTGTACAGTATAATTTTAAAAACATGTATTATATGCCCTAGTTGCTTGCATCTGACATGTTGATAGAGGTGAAATGTTAAATATTCTATGATCAAATTTATATTTAATCCTATTTTCTCAGTCTTACACTCCAAGTGTAGTTTGTGTGTAACTTTGCTATTTGTGGAGTTCTTCAATAACTCTATTCCTTATGTTATTCAATTATTATTTTACTAAATCTTCAAAAATAACAATTGTATTCAAAGCCATACCTTACTACTATGCAGAAATATATACAATTGTTCATACAGACTAGGATATGCTTATTTATAATTATTTTAATATTTGATCATCTTTGCAGACATATAATGAACATTCAATTTTTTCAGGCTGTTTACAAATCAGACCTGGAATGGCTGAGAGGCATTGGATGGGTTCCTATTGGTTCCATGGATGTTGAGAAAGCTAAGAAAGCTGGAGAAATCCTGAGCGAAAGGAAGTATCGTCAACCACCAGACCAAATTAAATTCACTAGTGTGACAGATTCTTTGCCCATGGTCTTAGCCAAGCAAAATGCTGAGATAATGAACAAGGTGAGATTTGTGTTTGGTTTGTGGTTTTTTTTTTCTCAATATCTAGTGTTACTAGCTGATAGAACTTGTTCATGAGGTAAAAAACCCAACGTACAAAGTAAGACTAAACACTATTGTTGTGGACTTGGAGAAAATGAATGTCCAAATTCAGACCTTGCACAGGAAAGCTCTTATCTCAGGGCTCTGTCTGAACTGAACTCTTAGTAAAAAATGCCCAGAAAAAAAAATTAACATAATTACATATTTTTCAAAAGTAATATTAAAAATTTAGGTAAATTTCCCTCTTCCTCCCATCCCAGCTGAAATCCTATATTTAAATGTTTGTTAGGTATTGTTTTTCTATTTTGCTAATGCTACTTCACTGTACAAAGCTCATCTCAGACAGAAGAGGTTAAATTTTTTTGCAACTCTTAGACAATACTGTGAAATTAGTGGAAACAATGTTCCAGAAAGGTGTCAGGGTACGTCCAGAGGTGGTGGTGCCATGACCATGCTGTAAGCAGAATACTGAGGCTTTTACTGCAGCTGCTATAATGATGCATTGTTGACTGAATGTCATACTGGGTGATGAACAAGTTACAAGGAAATAGCTTATGTTCTCTGGATGTGAAGCATCTACAATTTATCTCAGACCTAGAGGATGAAATTCACAAAGTACCTACTCTTCCTCTTTAATAAGAAGCATCAATCAAACAACTCGTATAGATAAGGCAGAATAATGAATAGTTTTCCTCCTACAGCAGTTTCCCAGCAATCCTGAAGTGATCCACTGCTGTACCAACTTAGCCTGAGAAATAACGAGGAAGGACAAAGTTTCCTTCTCGAGCTGTTCAGTGAGAAGCTTTGCTACATCAGGGTATTTAAAGCTTGCTTGAGCTACCCCTCACAGTTTATAAAATACCTTCTTTGGACAAATACATTAGTGTGGTTGTATATATCTTGTTCTGCTTCAGATTACTTTTTTAATATATCATGGATATATTTTTTGATAATCACTGCTTTCAAATTTGTAGCCTTTCCATCATCACACACATAAATAAACTTGTTAAAGGAATGTGTTTTCCTCTTTTGTAGCGTTTGTACACAGAAGCCTGGGATGCAGACAAAACGTCAATTCATGTCATGCCCGACACACCGACAATTTTGTTAGCCAAGGCCAATGCAGCTAACGTTAGCCATGTAAGAGCATTTAAACATATATTAATGAAATTCAGAAATTAAGTAAGCATTTCTTTAACCATAAAGATCTTCTAAAATATGTATTAGTGAAAATTTTAATAAAAAATTATGAAATGTAGAAATTCTGTATTTCAGAATATTGAGAAACCATTTTCTGTCTTCTTTTGTCTAGAAACTTTACGTACAAGCGTGGGAAGAGGCCAAAAAGAAGGGTTATGACATGAGAGCTGATGCAATTCCAATCCGAAGTGCAAAGGCATCAAGAGATATTGCGAGTGACGTAAGTTCTTCCTCTACGTGTGTTTTCAGTTAGCTGGAGAAACAAGAATGAAGTAGTGAGCTATATACAACATCAAAAAACATGGTATATCAGATTCTCCTTGAAAGCCTACTAACAAAGAACTCACTGGAGAAAGAAAATGGGTTAGTTTCCAAAAGAAACATTTAATTATAAATCCTGACATTAAGCAGATGTTAGAAAACAATAAACTACAGTGAGAACATACAAAAGGGGTGGAGCAAGAATAGGCTAGGCATTTCTCAAATCTTAATGAGTATACTTCATAACATCAAAAAATGGATTTGTGATCAGTAGCAGAATGAAACTATGGGAAATTAGTCCCAGTTTCATAACATCTTTTAACACTTCTTTGTGCATTTCTAGTACAAGTACAAAGAAACTCACGAGAAGCAGAAAGGCCACTACATTGGGTGCCCATCTGTCAAGGATGATCCCAAACTGTCGTGGGCCGCGCGTGCCATGGCGCTGCAGAATGACCGGATTTACAGGAAGGCGTACCACGATTCCAAGGCCCAGGTGCACATACCAGTGGATGCCATGTCAGTGCAGGCAGCCAAGGAGTGCCAGACACTGGTCAGTGACGTTGACTACCGCCACTACCTTCACCAGTGGACCTGCCTGCCTGACCAGAATGATGTGATCCATGCAAAGAAGGCCTATGACTTACAGAGTGATGTGAGTATGTGTAGAGATGTGGTAGTGACTACTATTCCTATTGAAGAGTGAGGGGAGAGTAACTATAGAAAAGGTTTATGGCAGGTGTGTGAGGCTGTGTTTGTTAGTAACTATGCAAATACCCTTTCAAATGCACGTTCATGAGTGTGCAGCCTGTGCTGGTATGTTTATTTTAATTCATCTGGATGATCCTTCCCAGACCAGTAGTGTTTTCAGCTTGAGGGCCAGAAGTATTCTGGGCAGTTCATATAGAAATGATAGTTTTTTGGTTGACTGTAGAATGTTTCCTTGCAGATTACTTGCAGATTATGCCCTTGATTTGCACGTAGCCAGTACCTTTAGATGTATCTTTCATGCTGTATAAAATGGGTAACTTTCTGGATCAGTAGTGTTTTCAGCTTGAGAGCCAGAAGTATTCTGGGCAGATCATGTGGAAGAGAAATGTAATGTATGTTTCTGATGGGTTTTTGGTCTGCTACAGAATGTCTGCTTGCAGATTACACCACAGTTCTACATGCAGACAGTATCTTTAACAGATAAGTAATTTCCTTGCAGTACAAAACAGGAGTTTAGCTGTATGTGGGAAGGACCTGGTACTCCTCAGTCTCATTGCTGAGTAACTGGAAGAGAAGTTGTTTAGGGAAAGCCTTGCACAAAACCTCTCTATATTTAGAGTTGTCTCTGCAATGCCAATCAACCTTGATTTATTTGTAGAACGTGTACAAGTCAGACCTGGAATGGTTGCGAGGCATCGGTTGGTTGACAGAAGGTTCTGTGGATGTGGTGAAAGCAAAGAAAGCCCAGGAGATCCTGAACGACAGGTTGTACCGCACGCGGCCAGAGGAGCTGAAATTCACCAGCATTACTGACGCACCAGATGTTGTCCAGGCCAAGATCAATGCTTTGCAGCTCAGTGATGTAAGCTGACTTGTCACTTACCTTTCATTTACGTGATGACATTTCTTTTCTCTGTGGTAGACACTAAAATTTCTGCCATTGGAATGACTAATTGGAAACTCATTCACATCGGAAGGAGCACAGAATTCCTGTTGGTGTGTGTTTTTCAGTGTTCAGACCATAGTGAAATGTCATTCTGCTTCCTTTCTCCTTAGCGACTGTATCGTGAAGCCTGGGACAAAGATAAGACACAGATTTCCGTACCTTCCGACACTCCTGTGATGCTGCAGTCCAAAGTCAATGCTCTCAACATCAGCAATGTAAGACAATAAAATCATTATGCATGTGAAACATTCTGAAATTTGAGTGTTTAACAATTGTTCCTCCAGAGTAGATTTTAACATAAGGGGTAAGTGTCGGAGAGTCTTGAGTGCATGTAACAGAGGTGATTAATTTTCTCTGCAGAAACATTATCAGAAGGCGTGGGACGAGGCCAAGGCCAAAAGCTATGACATAAGAGCTGATGCCATTTCCATCAAACACGCCAAGGCTTCCAGAGACATTGCTAGTGAGGTACAGTGTTCTCTTCATGTGATTGCTGTGTCTGTCTCTTCCTGTGTCCAGCTCAGCAGAACTGAGTGAAGTTCAGTTCAAAGGTAAGCATTGTACAGTTTGTGCTACTGTTCTATTTTAAAGCTTCTTGTGGGCACTTCTGTCTACAGCTTAAAAATGTCCATAGGTAAGTGCTCTGTAATAGGAGGACATGTGATACATTTGTGAGATTGCTCAGAGAGCTGGGTAACAAAGTGTGAATTTTCAGAGCAGTGATTTAAAGC